TAGGTACTTCCAGAAGTTCCATGTGGGCTCCTTCCCAGAAGTCTCTAGAGAAAAAGGAAGAAGGAGAGCTAAGTGTGTGTACCTGTGTATTCTCCCCTGGAATTCCACTATCAGTGTCCATCCTTCCCTTGAAGCAGTGGTTCTATTAGTTAGAATTAACTAGAGAGCTTTCTAAAATTCTGATGCCAGTCCACACTCGAGAACACTTAAATCAGAATCTCTGGGGGTAAGACTCAGGCATTAGTATTTTTCAAAAGCTGCCCAGGAGATTCCAATGTGGTGCCAAGGTTGAGAACTACTGCTTTAGGATTCTGTGAAGTTGATAAAGCAGTATCAGATCCTCCTTTATTAATGACCATAAACTAAATAGTCTACACCCTATTCTCCAATGAAATCTTAATGGTCTCCAAATGTTAATCTATGGATTCGGTGCACGTGAAATCATTGTGGTGGGGGTGGGGATTGGGGTGTGCTTAAAATGAATAGATTCTTGGGCCCTGCTTTAGTAGGCCTCAGGCTATTGCATTTTTAAGAGCTTTCCAGGTATTTCTAAAGCACGGCTGGGTTTGATCTATAACCCAGGGAAACCTGGGTGGTGAAAACAAAACCTATGGGAAGTAGGAGGGTACTAATAAAAACATACAGGAAAAAGGAGCAAATATTAGGATTGACCCATAGGGCAAAAATCAAATCTGCCTCAGTAAGGGACCTTTGTTTGCTGTTTTTCTCATTTACTCTCCCAGGTGGATGAGTTGGGAATGGGGGTGAGGGATTTGAAGGCAGCCAGAATCATGGAGTGGGAGAGGGCAAAATGGAGCCCCCAAAGGAAGAGAAGGGCCCAAGGGAGGAAATAGGACCATAGGACAAGCTTGGCCCATGACTCCATTTTGTGGTTCAGAGGCTCTGGGGCTGGAAAAGGGATCTATTTCTGAAATAATAAGATCTGGTATTTTAGCTCAGACGTTTGCCTCCTGTAGCTTACAGACTTTGCCTCCAACTCAGGCCAGGAGATGCCTGTCAGCAGTCTTGGTCAGCCTTTTCCAGGCATGTGGTACCTGTCTGCACCTGCAGTTTCATTCTAGGAGCCACTGTATATGAAAACCGGATCCTGGAGAAGTCAGTGGGGGTAACTCTGAGGGAAAACTGCAAAGCCACAGGGGTGGAGATATTCTTAACAGGAATACCCCTCAGCTCATCCTCAAAGATTAGTGCTGGAGCAGACCATCAGCCCACGTGCAGGGACCTGGAATGGGCCCCGGGTCACCCAACTAGCCAGTGGCTTCTGTTGCCCAAGAAGATATGACCTCAGCCAGCTGAGGGAAGGTGGGGGAAAGGATCAGGACTCACGTGTCAGATACTTGAAGGCAGGGTGGGCACCAGTGCCAATGACTGCAACCTTGCTAAACATGGGGAAAGAGACACTGTAGGTGTGGCGGGCGAAGCTCTCAATCTCCTTATTGCTGTCAGGCTCCTGCTGGCCAAACTGGTTGCAGGGGAAGGCAAGTACATTGAAGTGGTGGGGCCCCAGGTCCCGCTGGAGCTGCTGCAAGGCCCGGTAGTGCTGGTCTGTGAAGCCGCACTCACTAGCCACGTTCACCACCAGGGAAACCTGGGTGGTGAAAACAAAACCCAGACACATACATAACTTGGTGAAGAGGCATGCACTCATATGTGCTATGACATGGCCACATGTGATCCTCCAACAATTAATGCTCTTATACATACAAGAACACAATGTACACATATGTAAATGTGTGCAATGATCTCACAAATACATGCGCACAGGCACAAATGAAATCAAATACACAGGGCCTTATACATGCATATACACACATGAACATTCATGAAAATAAGCATACAGTGCACATAATGGGTATGCACATGCCCCATGATACAAAGATATGTTAACACACTCCATACATGCCCACAAACACACACAACAACACAACATATTCACAG